GGGGGGGGGGGTTCCTTGGCCTCTACAACACCCTGGGCTTTCAAAGGGAAAAAAGGGAAAAAAAAAAAGAAAGAATGGGACCCATACTTGGAAAAATGTTACAATGGGACCCATAAGCTTGAGCTGATCTGAGGAACAGGAGGTCAGGTTAGGGTACATGTCTACTGTGAAAGGTCATCCATAACCATTTGGGGGAGGAGAGGGCTGGCTGATTTTTTTGTGTTTCCATTGGGGGGTGGCTGATTTGGGGGAGAATTTCTGTGCACGTGGGGGTGGAACCACGTGGCACTTTGGTGGAGAAATGATAGAGGGGGAAAAAAGAACCATGTGGCACATAACCTGCCCTCAGGCTGTGAATGGGAACCATAACCTCCCACATGCGGCATGCCCACCCAATCAGTCTGCCCTTGCAGCGCCAGCAGAGCTCACGACCGCTCTGACTACTCAATGGTGCGTAAGGGGGCCGCAATGCCATCATTATGTGTCTGCCACATGTATCTGCGTCTCTCTGACAGCCAGGCAGTCCAATTATATGTCCTCTTCTCCCTCTCTGCCTACAGCGCAGTTCTCTCTCTCTCTCTCTCTCTCTCTCTCTCTCTCTCTCTCTCTCTCTGTGTGTGTGTGTGTGTGTGTATGTTCTCTCTCTCTCTCTCTTTCTCTCTGTGTATATATATATATATGTATATATGGAAATGTATTCGTTGGTGTACATTGTTATCAAGAACTGCCATTTGAAGCGAAGGCAGAGAGAGAGGGCTGTGACACACTGTTTCGTCCGAGTTTCAGCAAAGCATCAGGAGGGCGAATTAATAGATATTATACATTTTTTGTTTTTATATATAATATATTTATTTGTTTTTTGGGGGGGAAAGGAGAAGTTCAGACCTTTGAGCAGCCTGCAGTGTCAGGGAGGCCTCACACTATCCTGCTGTTCCTGATGAGCTGGACCTCACGCTGCTGGAAACTGGGGTTAGCATTCCAGACAGTTCAGTTACAAATCCGTCCCTCTCCGCTCCCCCCCCCCCCCCCCCCCTTTTTTTTTTTTCCTTGCCCCCTATTGATCAGCGTTTGTCATTCGTGTCAAACAGTCAAATTCTTCCATGTATTTGGAGTCCCAGCCATTTTTTTGTCGTCGCAGCCTGCATGCTGCTGCAACTTTCACAGTCTTTCAGGGCTCTGGCGCCTGGGCAAAATGGCTGGCGCCACCAGCAGCCAGTATCTTTTTTTTGCAGCCAGTATCTGGCTCAGAGGAACTAGAAGCAACAATATTAAAGAAAAAAAAGGAAAAAAAAAAGAAGCGACCCACTAGCCAAGTATATTACGTCTTTGTGGGCTTTTCGATCATGTGTGGCCCGTGGTGACTGTTTTTTTTTTTTTTTCGGTGTGGTGACATTTCATCGTCGTTGATGCACCTCAAATTCGACGGTCGGAGGTTTTGCCATCCGTGAACTCAGAACAGGGAATCCGCCAGCCAATCCCGTTCGAGGGAAAAGCATGACTTTTTTTTTTTTCTTTTTCTTTTTTTTGCATGACATTTTGAGTCCAAAGGAAAATCACCGAAAACACTGCACGGAGGTCTAGAAAACAAGACTTCAAGAGGTAGGGGGCGTTTTCAAGACTTCGCGGGCCCCGCTCTTGGCCGTGCCACTGGGGAAAACCGCCGTCTGACCGTCCGCAAACGGAGGTCGTTTCTTAGCTCCCTACCAACCAACACGTACAAAACTTCATTTTACCTGTTTCCATCTCGTTTCGTGGGGTAGGTGCACATTGCGATGCCTTTATACGACCAAGCATTCCGGCCAGATTCGTTTCTCCTTTTTCGACTCACCTCAAGGCAGTGTTTTGGAGTGTATGTCCGTAGTGGACCTTTCCCCAAATGGCATGTGAATGGCATGTGGAAGCCACCGGGTTGTGCAGCATCTCGCCTCCACGGTTTAGTCCGTGCCCCATTACGTTACGTGCTGACGGGTTTTGTCCTGTTCGTTTCCCACCTTCCGACTTCTATTCGATGCCATCTCCGGTGTGGCAGTCGTTGACGCCATCGACTGACAGGTATTCGCCCCTAACGCCTCGTCCACCTTTCTTCGGCGACGCTCCAATTTTCTCCCATGGAAGCGACGGATGATGATGCGTGACTGTCCTGTATTGTGGACTGGGGCTACACAGAGTCCCAATATGGGACTCCCCGTGCCGACCATGCCCAACAGCCCGGTGCATTGCCAGGACGGCTAGGGTTTCAATTGCCCCTCTTCCGAATGCCACTCAGCATGGCTTCTGTACGGAGGAAACCGGGGCCGGCGTGGCAGACGTGTTGGGCACTCAGGTCCCCAATTCCCAGTTTTTTGGGGACAAGGGGCCATCCCGGCTCTCTCGGCACCCCCGTGGAGGGAAGGGGCTTCACTTGTCGTGACGTGGATGCCACACTGCCGCCTCCTCTGTCCTGTCCACGAGCTCCCTTCGCGGGGCTAAGTTATGGGGTGAGTGGACGAGATGAGAATTCCCTCATGCAGCAGTTATGGATGCGTGCCATAGCCATGGCGGAGGGGCAGTCACGGGGTCCGTTTGTGGTGGCTGGTAGCCGGGTCCCACATTCGTCCCCTTCTTTTTCCGAGGCGTCGCGCAGTGTCAGCCCCGCAACGTCGCCTTTGGCGCCCGGCGACTGCAGCAACGGGCCTCACCGATCTGACGGCGCTGGAAGCGTTACCCCTCCACCCCGCTCGAGCAGGGGAGGGGTAGGAGACAGCGTCACACCGCCGTCAGGGGGGGTTCATCCTCGGAGCAGTGCGCAGCAGAGTCCGGGGTCTGATTATATCATCAATCGTCTTGTGCGCGATGTGGAAGCTGGGTTTTTTTCGATAGGGGGGAGTGCGGGTGTGATAGATGGTGGGGTTTGCAATCCGGAGCTGGCCATACCTGCACACATCTCCCCAGAAACACTGCGAAGTCTCTCTGCCAATGCCCATGCGGCGAACAACGGTGGCGGGGACGGCGGTCCGTCCAGCATCCCGACGACAGACGTTGGGGGTGACGCATCATCCACGGGGGGCCGTCCGCAACGCGGACATGTGAGACCGTCTGATGCGCCAAAAAACTCGGATAGGTGGGGGGAGGAGGAGACCACGGTGCTTTGGCAAGCACGCAATGAGGCAAAAGCACTTCTCGGTGAGGAGACAAAGGGCATGCATTGGGATGGCTCGCGCAAAGGCAGGGTTTTGGAAGAATGTCGAAGATCGCATGTGCGAGAGAGGATACAATCGTGATCATGAGCAGTGCAAGGGGAAGTTTAGTCAAGTGATGGACTTCTATCGGTGGCTTAAGATCCATGAAGGGTGGTCGGGCTTACCGAGTTACCGGGATATGAACCAGACGAAGAGAAAGAGGTACAAATTGAATGTAGATCTTGTAATAAGGCGCAGTTGGTACGACACCATAAATGCAGTGGAGAGGGACGTCGACTCCATTACTAATTTGCGGGACTCCGATGTCGAAGAGGACAGACGGGAAGGGAAGAGGCCAACAACAGGGCTCATGGGGGCGGGGATACGGAGGGTGTGAGTGAGGACATGGATGGAGGATCCGAAGGACAGGGGTAACCTCCGTCCCCGAGCAAGTACCCACCAGACACATCGGGGATGACTGGCCTCTCGGCACGGAAAAGGTCGCCCTCTTCATTCAAGAACAGTGTGCCCTTCAGCCCTCGGCGGTACAACAACGTGTGCTTCAGCACACTAGCATCGCCAACAGTCCCCGGGAAGCCGTAACAGAAGTCCAGGATTTTGAGGTCGTAGTCCACAACCAGCTGTGCCACGACAGAGAACCGCTTGTTTCAGCCGGAACAATAATCATCGTCGTTGCATGCGCGGGGCTTGTCCATAAACACATGAGTGCAGTCTATGCACCCCCAGCAATTGGGGAAACCCTCCTGATCGAACACGTCCATGGCATTGCGGGCATGACGTTCCTCGTGCCCCCCAAACCCAATAACATTCGGGTAAGATGCGATGATGGCCTCCACAACCTCTCGCATAGCACGCACACCACTGGTTTTGCCGAGTCCATAAGCAGAACAATTGTGCCAATGTGCGTCGCCGTGAGCCCACCTGTGGATAGCGTACGCCCGCTTTTTGGCCGGCGGGAGAGGCAGGCGGAATCTTGTCACTTGTTTCTCAAGCAACGGACCAACCCTCTGTAGAAGCCGATCGAATGTCGACCGTCGCATTCGGAGAAGGCTTATGTAATGGTCGTTCTGCGCATCGTCAACAGGAAGGAGATCCTCCCATAGACCTCCACTCCGACGCATGACCCACCATCTAGGCAAGGCATGAGGGAGCAAGTCCAGCAGGTCGACAATTGCAGGCCACAACCACAACATACTGTGCCTGTCAGTTCTATCGCCATCTTCATCTTCCAGCACTGATGCCAGACAAGCATCAGCACCGTGGTTTGCAGAGAGCAGATGTGTTGGGGGACGGCCCATGATAACGTCCATCATGTGAAAAGCATCTTCTGCCATTTTGCTGGCTGTGGCCATGACAGCCACAGCAAGCTGTTCGTGATCCCTCCTTCTCAACCGAGGCATTTGCCGGTACAGTTCGCGGGCAGAGACAGGGCTCAACCCGCCTCAGAATCGATGACCGTACGTAAACCCCAAAAAATGCCCTCTCCTAACCCCCCCCCCCCCCCTCCGCCTAACAGCTATTCGTACTGCACGCCATTACATTACGGAGCACAGGCCGCCCTCAAGCACCTTACACGCACGACCCAAACGAACACGTAATGGCACCGACTTATCGAAAAGAGCACTGGTAAACGACATGGCCGAAATTGACCCGACGCCAGCCACGGGCAAGAGACACAGGAAAAGTCCCTGTTTCCACATTCCAGCTGGGTGCTGCCCACAGTCCACAGAGTGTGAGAGGACACTTCGCTGAACAACGTTCGCCCGAAACAGCCTGACCACCACAAATCTGTGAAGCAGTGTGAGCAGGCGTGAGCGTTTGGATTGCAGGCTTCCCTCTACACTTGGGGATCCTGACAGACTTGCGCCAAAAAGTTGTGCAAAAAAAAAAACCGTCAATTTTTTTTTTTGATTAAAAAAGCTAATTATAAACTCGACAAAACCCCAAAAAAGACGTCACAATTTCACCTCACACTACCTACCTACCACTACTCCTAATTGTAGGCATACGGGGAACCCCGTAGCAGCCAGAACCGTGTTCACGAGAGAACATGCAGGGGCTGCTCCCGACCTGCAGGTGGGCGATACCGTCTAGGGGCCGGTAGCATCAGGGACCATGCCAACAGGACCAATCCCTGTGCCTCCCCTCAGGTCCCCTCCCCTATGAACATCAGCAGACACAATTTCACCTCACACTACCTACCTACCACTACTCCTAATTGTAGGCATACGGGGAACCCCGTAGCAGCCAGAACCGTGTTCACGAGAGAACA